CCTTCTCCGTCCCCCCAACATCTTCCGTTCCTGGCCTTCGTCAGGTAATCTACTTGATAGTAGATAGTAGATCTACTTTCCAGAGAAGCCTCCTGGACTGTGGCGGTCCGTAGTAATATACATCTGAATGGCTTGGAAAGTGAAAATATAATAATTTCAGAAACATAAAATGCAGAAAAGGGTGGCGGATGGACTCTCTTTTGAGGGTGTGGGCGTGGCTTAGGAGGGCGTGGCTTAGGAGAGGCGTGGCCAGAAGGGGCGTGGCTACAAGAGGCGTGGCCAGAGAGAGCCAGGGTGCTAGAGTATTCATGGGCCACTCAGCCTCTGATATTACCAACTTTATGGTCACTTTTACACAGACTTGCAAGACATACCCGAGCCTCTTGAGAGAGAGAGACAGAGAGAGAGACAGAGAGAGAGACAGAGAGAGAGAGAGAGAGAGAGAGAGAGAGAGAGAGAGAGAGAGAGAGAGAGAGAGAGAGAGAGAGAGAGAGAGAGAGAGAGAGAGAGAGAGAGAGAGAGAGAGGAGAGAGAGAGAGAGAGAGAGAGAGAGAGAGAGAGAGAGAGAGAGAGAGAGAGAGAGAGAGAGAGAGAGAGAGAGAGAGAGAGACAGAGAGAGAGAGAGACAGAGAGAGAGAGAGAGACAGAGACAGAGAGAGACAGAGCTGGCAAAAGCCAGGCCGGACCCCTGGGGGTCACAGGCTCCAGGCTGGACCCCTGGGGGTCACAGGCTCCAGGCTGGACCCCTGGGGGTCACAGGCTCCAGGTTGGACCCCTGGGGGTCACAGGCTCCAGGCTGGACCCCTGGGGGTCACAGGCTCCAGGCTGGACCCCTGGGGTCACATGTTCTAGGCCTATAGGCAACTTCGCCTTGATAGAACACAAACAAAAGTACTTACTAACTTTAAATGTGCCGCTTGAGCGGTAGCACACAGGTCCCCTTTTCTCTCTCTCCCTTTCTGTCCCACCCTCTCCCTTTCTGCCCCACCCTCTCCCTTTCTGCCCCACCCTCTCCCTTCCTGCCCCACCCTCTCCCTTTCTGCCCCACCCCTCTCCCTTCCTGCCCCACCCCTCTCCCTTCTGCCCCACCCCTCTCCCTTCCTGCCCCACCCCTCTCCCTTCCTGCCCCACCCCTCTCCCTTCCTGCCCCACCCTCTCCCTTCCTGCCCCACCCCTCTCCCTTCCTGCCCCACCCCTATTCTCGTCTCTGTTTCCAAAACCTTCACATTCTCTTAAATTCTCGAACCTCCTTTTCTTTCTCTTCGTTGCACCTGTATTTTTTTTCTCTTTTTCCCTCTCTCCCTGGTTTATTATCGCCCTTCTTTCCCTTCCTCTTCCCTTCCTCTTCCCTTCCTCTTCCCTCCCTCTTCCCTCCCTCTTCCCTCCCTCTTCCCTCCCTCTTCCGTTCCCCAAGAGCTCTGATGAACCAGACTGTGATCGCCAGGCTGCCAGCAGCCGCGTCCATCGGACCAAATGACCAGACACCCCCCAACCCAGAGGCCTGGTCAGAGACCGGGCCGCGGGGACGTTGATCCTAGGGAATCACTACAAGGTGAGTCCTCACACACACACTCTTCTGTGAACTATAACTATACTGGCTTAGCCTTTTCCCCCCCTGATAATTTCCTTAGGCCCTTAGCGAGTGAGGAGTGCCAGATGTTGGCACTCCTCGCCGGAGGAGTGAGGAGTGCCAGATGTTGGCACTCCTCGCCAGTGCCTGCCCAACCGGTGCTGACAAGGACCGGGTGAAGGAAGGGTGAAGATCGGGTGACCGCCTCCAAAGGATACCTGATCAACCAGGCTGTGACTCATACGTCAGGCTGTGAGCAGCCGCGTCCAACAGCCTGGTTGACCAGTCCAGCAACCAGGAGGCCTGGTCGACGACCGGGCCGCGGGGACGCTAAGCCCCGGAAGCACCTCAAGGTATATATATATATATATATATATATATATATATATATATATATATATATATATATATATATATATATATATATATATTAGGATACCGTCTACTTCATTCTACTATGCTTCGATGAAGGCGTCCTCTCCTGTGCCAGGAAAGTTCACTACGGGATCACCATAGCCCGTGCTACTTGGAACTTGTTTCGAGTAGCTGAATCTATAACAACAATCCGATGAAGGCGATTTAAGCCGAAAACGTGTTTAGCAATTCTCCATTTTTCACATGTGGGGTTTTCCCCCGCATATACTAGGACACAAGCAAGGACAATAACCCAATTACACGGTCGGTCCAAGAAGCGGAAAATCCCCTTCCCTATTTCGCCTTGACCCCCCCCCCCCCCCCCTCCGCGCTAGTAATCCCCTCAGCCAATCACAGTAAGGGAAATTAATGTGACGTCAGCATCACTTGGACATATGAGGCCATGCCAGATGGTATTAGGAAGCAGGGGTAAGGGGAAATAATAAGGGTGTGAGGGTAAGGGGAATTTCGTAAGGGGTGACTTTAGGGAAAGAGGATCAGGGTAAGGGGAGGGGGAATGGGTGGGGGGGAGGGGGAAAGGCTCGGAAGATGGTATAAGGAGTTAGGAGGGCTGAGTATAAGGGGCTTCCATTTTTATCAGTAGAAGCAATGGGCTGAAGAGCATATATATATATATATATATATATATATATATATATATATATATATATATATATATATATATATATATATATATATATGCAGAATAACCACATATGAAAATAGAAAATGCTTAACGCGTTTTCGGCTAATTCGCCTTCATCAGAGCAAAGTAGAATCACTTTGCTCTGATGAAGGCGAATTAGCCGAAAACGCGTTAAGCATTTTCTATTTTTCATATGTGGTTATTCTGCATACTTGGATCAGTGTTTTTGTGATCATTGTTGCATATATATATATATATATATATATATATATATATATATATATATATATATATATATATATATATATATATATATATATATATATATATATATATATATATATATATATATGGGGATATAGTATTGTAAACCAACGTATTCTCAACCTTTTTACCCATGTGAAAACCCAGGAAATAATTCTCATATCTCAAGTAACCCCAACATAACAAAATGACGCAATATATTTACTAACCTAAAAAAAATATGCCTTAAAAAATCAACCATATCTGTAAACACAAACAATCAACATTAGTTAAATAAACAATGTGTTAGGAGAATGTTATTTCTGAAGCCAATTTAGATCCTGAAATTTGCTAATGTGAAACCTTTCAATACTTTTCTGTGTTTCTGTCTTTCAGTACTTTTACTACGGTGTGGACCTGAAGGTCATACACACACACACACACACACACACACACACACACACACACACACACACACACACACACACACAGGCAGTAATGTGGTGGAGGCAGACTCCATACACAGTTTCAAATGTAGATATGATCCCAGTAGAGCCCAGTAGGCTCAGGAATCTGTACATCAGTTGATTGACGGTTGAGAGGCAGGACCAAGGAGCCAGAGCTCAACCCCCGCAAGCACAATTAGGTGATTACAATTAAGTGAGTGTACACACACACACGTGTGTGTGTGTGTGTGTGTACACTCAGTGTTCAAGAGAGAACTATCAACATCAGAGGCCCGAGACTGTTCAACAAGCTTCCACAACACATAAGGGACATAACTGGCCGACCACTCACAGTGTTCAAGAGAGAACTAGCAACATCAGAGGCCCGAGACTGTTCAACAAGCTTCCACAACACATAAGGGACATAACTGGCCGACCCCTCACAGTGTTCAAGAGAGAACTAGCAACATCAGAGGCCCGAGACTGTTCAACACGCTTCCACTACACATAACGGACATAACTGGCCGACCCCTCAGAGTGTTCAAGAGAGAACTATCAACATCAGAGGCCCGAGACTGTTCAACACGCTTCCACTACACATAAGGGACATAACTGACCGACCCCCTCACAGTGTTCAAGAGAGAACTATCAACATCAGAGGCCCGAAACTGTTCAACACGCTTCCACTACACATAAGGGACATAACTGGCCGACCCCTCACATTGTTCAAGAGAGAACTATCAACATCAGAGGCCCGAGACTGTTCAACACGCTTCCACTACACATAAGGGACATAACTGGCCGACCCCTCACAGTGTTCAAGAGAGAACTATCAACATCAGAGGCCCGAGACTATTCAACACGCTTCCACTACACATAAGGGACATAACTGGCCGACCCCTCACAGTGTTCAAGAGAGAACTATCAACATCAGAGGCCCGAGACTGTTCAACACGCTTCCACTACACATAAGGGACATAACTGGCCGACCCCTCACAGTGTTCAAGAGAGAACTCTATCAACATCAGAGGCCCGAGACTGTTCAACACGCTTCCACTACACATAAGGGACATAACTGGCCGACCCCTCACAGTGTTCAAGAGAGAACTATCAACATCAGAGGCCCGAGACTGTTCAACACGCTTCCACTACACATAAGGGACATAACTGGCCGACCCCTCACAGTGTTCAAGAGAGAACTGGATAAACACCTCCAAAGGATACCTGATATCACGATAGGTAGATAGCCTATTTACCTCTCACTGAACCCCTGGTAACCTGGAATGGTGTTAAGAGATCACCAGGTGCTAACTCCTGGTGACCACCCGTCCCTTGCCACCCGTCAACTGGTGGCAGGCGAGGGTGGCAGGTGGCAGGGTGGCAGGTGGCAGGGTGGCAGGTGGCAGGGTGGCAGGTGGCAGGGTGGCAGGTGGCAGGGTGGCAGGTGGCAGGGTGGCAGGTGGCAGGGTGGCAGGTGGAAGGGTGGCAGGTGGAAGGGTGGCAGGTGGAAGGGTGGAGGGTGGAAGGGTAGCAGGTGGCAGGGTGGCAGGTGGCAGGGTGGCAGGTGGCAGGGTGGCAGGTGGCAGGGTGGCAACTCCCTGAAGGATTCTAATTATAGGAACTAGGAGCTGATCCCTGGCGGGGAGGTTACGTCCCTAAGTGCCGGGGCCCCTGCTGTCAGGCAGAGCAGTGCCGGGGCCCCTGCTGCCAGGCAGAGCAGTGCCGGGGCCCCTGCTGCCAGGCAGAGCAGTGCCGGGGCCCCTGCTGCCAGGCAGAGCAGTGCCGGGGCCCCTGCTGCCAGGCAGAGCAGTGCCGGGGCCCCTGCTGCCCGGCAGAGCAGTGCCGGGGCCCCTGCTGCCAGGCAGAGCAGTGCCGGGGCCCTTGCTGCCAGGCAGAGCAGTGCCGGGGCCCCTGCTGCCAGGCAGAGCAGTGCCGGGGCCCCTGCTGCCAGGCAGAGCAGTGCCGGGGCCCCTGCTGCCAGGCAGAGCAGTGCCGGGGCCCCTGCTGCCAGGCAGAGCAGTGCCGGGGCCCCTGCTGCCAGGCAGAGCAGTGCCGGGGCCCCTGCTGCCAGGCAGAGCAGTGCCGGGGCCCCTGCTGCCAGGCAGAGCAGTGCCGGGGCCCCTGCTGCCAGGCAGAGCAGTGCCGGGGCCCTTGCTGCCAGGCAGAGCAGTGCCGGGGCCCCTGCTGCCAGGCAGAGCAGTGCCGGGGCCCCTGCTGCCAGGCAGAGCAGTGCCGGGGCCCCTGCTGCCAGGCAGAGCAGTGCCGGGGCCCCTGCTGCCAGGCAGAGCAGTGCCGGGGCCCCTGCTGCCAGGCAGAGCAGTGCCGGGGCCCCTGCTGCCAGGCAGAGCAGTGACGGGGCCCCTGCTGCCAGGCAGAGCAGTGCCGGGGCCCCTGCTGCCAGGCAGAGCAGTGCCGGGGCCTTGCTGCCAGGCAGAGCAGTGCCGGGGCCCCTGCTGCCAGGCAGAGCAGTGCCGGGGCCTTGCTGCCAGGCAGAGCAGTGCCGGGGCCCCTGCTGCCAGGCAGAGCAGTGCCGGGGCCTTGCTGCCAGACAGAGCAGTGCCGGGGCCCCTGCTGCCAGGCAGAGCAGTGCCGGGGCCTTGCTGCCAGGCAGAGCAGTGCCGGGGCCCCTGCTGCCAGGCAGAGCAGTGCCGGGGCCCCTGCTGCCAGGCAGAGCAGTGCCGGGGCCCCTGCTGCCAGGCAGAGCAGTGCCGGGGCCTTGCTGCCAGGCAGAGCAGTGCCGGGGCCTTGCTGCCAGGCAGAGCAGTGCCGGGGCCCCTGCTGCCAGGCAGAGCAGTGCCGGGGCCCCTGCTGCCAGGCAGAGCAGTGACGGGGCCCCTGCTGCCAGGCAGAGCAGTGCCGGGGGCCCCTGCTGCCAGGCAGAGCAGTGCCGGGGCCCCTGCTGCCAGGCAGAGCAGTGCCGGGGCCCCTGCTGCCAGGCAGAGCAGTGCCGGGGCCCCTGCTGCCAGGCAGAGCAGTGCCGGGCCCCTGCTGCCAGGCAGAGCAGTGACGGGGCCCCTGCTGCCAGGCAGAGCAGTGCCGGGGCCCCTGCTGCCAGGCAGAGCAGTGCCGGGGCCCCTGCTGCCAGGCAGAGCAGTGACGGGGCCCCTGCTGCCAGGCAGAGCAGTGACGGGGCCCCTGCTGCCAGGCAGAGCAGTGCCGGGCCCCTGCTGCCAGGCAGAGCAGTGACGGGGCCCCTGCTGCCAGACAGAGCAGTGCCGGGCCCTGCTGCCAGGCGGAGCAGAGCCGGGGCCCCTGCTGCCAGGCAGAGCAGTGCGGGGCCCTTGCTGCCAGGCAGAGCAGTGCCGGGGCCCTTGCTGCCAGGCAGAGCAGTGCCGGGGCCCCTGCTGCCAGGCAGAGCAGTGACGGGGCCCCTGTTGCCAGGCAGAGCAGTGACGGGGCCCCTGCTGCCAGGCAGAGCAGTGCCGTGGAGGAGCAGTGCCCAGGTAGAGTCTGGGATAGTGTCCAAACCAGTGAAGAGTAGAGGTGCCATAGGCACCAATCAGAGAGCACTGAACAAATTCACAAGTGCCGTTATGAGAGTTCGAACCTAAGTACAGGATGTGTGTGCAGAGAACAGTCTGAACATCGGAGGTCCACAGCTGTTCAACACCCTGTTCAACACCCTGTTCAACACCCTGTTCAACACCCTCCCAGCAAGCATTAGAAATATTGCCGGAACAACGGTGGATATCTTCAAGAGGCGACTAGACAAATTCTTGCAAGAAGTGCCGGACCAACCGGGCTGTAGTGGGCCTGCGGGCCGGGCTTGGGGAGTAGAACTCTCGAAATCCTCTCCAGGTATGCTCCAGGTAAGCCAAGTGACATGTCTGCCCCCGGGGTATTACCCAGCATCTCGCCCTCTGGTGCCCGACACGACCAAAATACCACACAAATATTTTGAAATAATGTGAAGGTCTTAAAAGACACTGGAATGTGAGGCGGTGTGGGCGTGTGTGTGTGTGTGTGGGGGGGGGGGGGGGGGCGGTGTGTGTGGGGGGGGGGCGGTGTGTGTGGGGGGGGGGGGGGGCGTTGTCTGTGGGCGGTGTGTGTTTGTGGAGTGTGGGAGTGTGTGGAGTGTAGCAGTGGGTGTGTGCAAGTGAAGAGTTATCAAACCAATGACAACAGAGAGGAAGATATTAGGTAGAGGTGAGAGAAACACATGGGAGAAGTGAGAGAAACACATGGGAGAAGTGAGAGAAGGGAATGAGACAGAGGTGTCAAGGGGAAATGGAATAAAACTCACGAATTTCTTAACTATTTACCCTCATTAAAACAAGGTCACTGATACCATACACACACGAAAGCCAACCAAGATAAGAAACAAATCTCGACTCATCCTCTTGGGATAGAAAACTCTTAGTCTGTCCCCTATCCTCTAGTGAGGAGAGGGGCTTCGCAAGCGATACTCTCTTGAGGTTATCTTGAGATGATTTCGGGGCTTTTAGTGTCCCCGCGGCCCGGTCCTCGACCAGGCCTCCACCCCCAGGAAGCAGCCCGCGACAGCTGACTAACACCCAGGTACCTATTTTACTGCAAGGTAACAGGGGCATAGGGTGAAAAAAACTCTGCCCATTGTTTCTCGCCGGCGCCTGGGATCGAACCCAGGACCACAGGATCACAAGTCCCGCGTGCTGTCCGCTCGGCCGACCGGGACTCTACTTCCCTACATGTCTTTATTCTCTTTTAGAGATAAAGGTGAGAGGAAAGTTATAAAAACTGAGAAAAATAGTGTAAGTTATGATTTCAGGGCTCAACGTCCTAGCGGCCCGGTCCTCGACCAGGCCTCCTCTAGGTTGGGAAGCATTTTTTTCTTACCATGTGACTGGTTAGAATTTTCTCAAGTATTTCAAAGTGCATGGACGAATGTCTGGAGCAAGCATTCCCTTGAGGCATGCACATAATGGTTTGAATTCACCCCTTCTCACCCCCTTAGAAAGGGAGGGCGGGGGGGGGGGGGCAGGGGCTTTAGGAGAGATGGAGTGAGGGAGGGAGACCAGTATGGATGACAAAGGGGAGGTGGATGAGGGAGGGAGACCAGTATGGATGACAAAGGGGAGGTGGATGAGGGAGGGGACCAGTATGAATGACAAAGGGGAAGATGGATGAGGGATGGGGACCAGTATGGATGACAAAGGGGAGGTGGATGAGGGAGGGGACCAGTATGGATGACAAAGGGGAAGATGGATGAGGGATGGGGACCAGTATGGATGACAAAGGGGAAGGTAAGGGTAAGGGAGACACAGAAGGTGTGGGTGGTGGAAAATATATCAACATAAGACAGTCTTAGGGGTCGGAGACAGGGAGGCCCATCAGGGTAATCTCCCCGCTGCCTCAACTACTTCCCTGGGCTTACCTGTGGCTTACCTCCGGCCAGTTTCGAGAGTTTTTTTTGTCTTCTCTCGCAGCCAAAACCTTTGACTTTTCTAGGCCGAATATCTCGCCTTATCTGGAAGGAAATCTGTTCACCAAACAGTATTCCGTTCAACAGAACAACAGTGCTTAGAAGAACATCATCACAGGCGTTGTAAAGCCTCTGTTGTTATAGAAGGAACAGCATAATTGGTGTTCTAGAAAGTTCTAAATATGGAGCTGTTATTTTAGAATTCATAACAGACCATTTATGGTGCCATGTAAGATTCGTAAGAAGAGAATAAGTTACTACAGAGCCAAGACACAAGTACAAGGTCTCCACTAGACAGCTCTTGTACCTGGATTGTACCTGGATGGGGCTCTGAGAGTTCTTCTGCTCCCCAAGCCCGGCCTGACTTGTGAGTTTGGTCCACCAGGCTATTACACATTGTATCGGCACAATACATTGTATAATATATGTATTACATAGTCAATCTTGGGTACAAGTCCAATATATCATCAAGTGTTCCAGTATACATATAGTAGTTACAGAGTTCAGCATACCTCAGCCCAGGAGGGCGACCCATATTATATATATATATATATATATATATATATATATATATATATATATATATATATATATATATATATGACTTATTTATATATACAAGCGTTCTCACATGGTTGTAAAGCCACTAGCATGCGTAGTGTTTCGGACAGAAAAGAAGTCCTCTTTCCTGAATGAAGCTCCGATCAGTCTTATTAAAAACTTATCCATTACAAAGAACATTTATTTAACATCCCGGTAAAAGAGCACAGTCGCCTCCTGTTTGGTGCAGCAAGAGTGAGGTAGGGGGGGGGGGGAGAGGTAGGGGAGGGTAGTGGAAATGGAACAAGGGGTTTGAGATCCCGTGATGAGTCTAACAAAGCCAAAGGGGGAATCCCCAACGTTCCCACGTATAAGACGAGTGGGGGGGAGAAGGTGGGGGGAAATAGGGGTTAATTTGCTCTTGAGAGAGAGGGAGCGGAGGGGGGGGGGGAGGGGAAGGTCACGGGTGATTACCGCAGCCATTGGTAAACAGTCCAATGGCCTCGTCACGTTCGCCATGCCCCGCTATATGTCCGGACCAACACCACTACCCCCCCCCACTAACGCACCCCCCACCTCCCTTAACCCCCCCCTCCCCCACTAACGCCCCCCACCTCCCTTAACCCCCCCCCTCCCCCACTCCCCTGCCCTCCCTCCCCCCCCACTTCTGGCTGCCCGTCCTGGTAGACGCGACCCAAACACCTGTCTGTCTACCCTTGTCTACCCCCCTCCTCCCCCTTCATCCGAGTCCCCACACCTGTCTCACACACCTGTACTCGACACCTGGAGAGGGTTTCGGGAGTTCTTCTACTCCCCGGTCGAGGACCGGGCCGCGGGGACGCTAAGCCCCGAAATCATCTCAAGATAACCTCACGATAGCATTCGGTTTGAGAGGAAATTAATATCCATCGCCCTAGTTTACCTGTTATCCCAGTTATCTCATTTTATGGACTATCACCCCATAGTTAGGTTTATCAAATGCCTTTGTAAACTAGGTGTATACCACATTATATCTTTATCTTTATCTTTATTTTTATCTTTCTTCTAATGGTTCACTAATTTTGTGCTGCCAACTTGCCAGTTTTGGATATCGTTCATGAAGAAGCTGCCCAGATCTTAAACTTGTATCTTGCTTTTTGGGATGCTAAGCTTTAAGTTTTTAAAGTGAGGGTTGTTCCTCACCCTCTCTCTCTCTTGGCTATTTATTGCCTGCATCAACTTCCTCATCACACACACAGCACCGCTCCTGTGTCAGGTAAGTCCACTACGGGCTCACCATAGCCCGTGCTACTTGCCCCGCTCCTGTGCCAAGTAAGTCCACTACGGGCTCACCATAGCCCGTGCTACTTGCCCCGCTCCTGTGTCAGGTAAGTCCACTACGGGCTCACCATAGCCCGTGCTACTTGCCCCGCTCCTGTGCCAGGTAAGTCCACTACGGGCTCACCATAGCCCGTGCTACTTGCCCCGCTCCTGTGTCAGGTAAGTCCACTACGGGCTCACCATAGCCCGTGCTACTTGCCCCGCTCCTGTGTCAGGGAAGTCCACTACGGGCTCACCATAGCCCGTGCTACTTGCACCGTTCCTGTGCCAGGTAAGTCCACTACGGGCTCACCATAGCCCGTGCTACTTGCCCCGCTCCTGGGCCAGGTAAGTCCACTACGGGCTCACCATAGCCCGTTCTACTTGCCCCGCTCCTGTGCCAGGTAAGTCCACTACGGGCTCACCATAGCCCGTTCTACTTGCCCCGCTCCTGTGCCAGGTAAGTCCACTACGGACTCACCATAGCCCGTGCTACTTGCCCCGCTCCTATGCCAGGTAAGTCCACTACGGGCTCACCATAGCCCGTGCTACTTGGAGCTTGTTTCGAGTAGCTGAATCTATAACAACAACAACATTCCTCATCACAATCAACTTGAGAATGGTCCAGGACGGGCCGAAACGTCGTCGTCCCTTCACCTTCTAGTATGTGGTGTGGTCAACAAGCTTAATACTTAATGCTAAGCTTTAAGATTTCACCATTTCTTGTAAGTATATATCCAATACGGATGAACATTTAATTTGTTTTGTTTACTTATGTGACAAAAATATTATGGATTTCTTTTTATCTCTGTAAATAAAGAAAATATTTTCTGTCTTATCTCCAGGATGGCTTCAGCGTCTGCTCTATTTCTTCGTTCTCCCCTGTTAAAATATCCTTTTATCTGTTGGGATAATTAAATCTAAAATTACCTTGCGCGAAACGCTA